TTATACAGCTATCGCACAGACATAGTTCACAGTCGATGCACGTAACAGACGCCTCATATTTTTCGCACCCTTCACATTTCCGTGGTGCACTCTGGTTGAGGTTTCTCACCCTTCGCTCCATATCGTCAAGAAGACTCGAAATAACAAAGTTACCTTTCAGGCCACGTATTCCTTCCTGTTCAAGTAGACAAATTGCTGAACAGTTGGGACATTTCAATTTTCCTGCGGACTTCTCGAGCAAAGAAACCAAGCAGTGTTCACAGAATGTATGCATACATGAAAGGACTTTTGGTTTTTTGTAACGTTCAAGACAGATGCCACAAGTCAGGTGATCTTCTTGGATTTCGTCCAACGTCTGTGCTACATTTGCCCCATCGGCCATAACCACGAAATGTAGGTAATATCTACGTCAACCCATAGAAATAGTACCAGTAGTTTGAGTCCGTCGAGTCTACGTTCGCAGTACAGTATCAACGCGCTAGGTCACGATGATATAATTTCAAAAATCATACAAATTTTTGTAAGGCATGTGACGTTTGTGTTTTAAATTTGTTTTTTGAATATGACGCACGCAAAAATAATTAAGTCTAGATTTTTGAGTAAGATTTTGGTAGAAACCAAATGGTTTTAATATGGCGGACGAACACACCGATAGTGAGTACTCAGTAAGGTCAACTGTTCCATGATAATAAGCTCGCCACTAGAGGGCACTGCATCGTATTATGTCAACAAACCTTCATATTCAAAAAAGAAAAATATAATAGTTATTATTACATATGTACTGCAGTTTATTTTGATTCGTCCCTGAAATCAAAATCGGTAACAACCCATATGCAAATGAGGTCTGAGAGCAAACAAAGTAGTCCCTTCAGGAGTACAATTTTTCGAAAGAAACAATATTTAAAAGTATGATATTTTCCCCTTGGGGTACATGAATATACTTGCCGAGTGAAATGAAATTTGAACAACAGTAACGGTACTTTTAGGCAGTCACTTATTTTGGCATAAACTAATTTGCATATCACCCATGCAATAATGTTTTCGGTATTTTCACGGTCGATATGCAAATGAACATGGTATTTTCATTGGCTACCGAACTATTATTATTTTGTAAACACATTTTCGTCTGCTATTTTTATCCAGTTCAAATCGTTCAACAACATTTTTGGGCATGTCAGGTGTACATCACATGAAATACTACGATTG